GTTTCGAGCCTTCAGCTGTTCCAGTGAATCTTATGGTAATAATGTCATTAAATGACTTCCTTAAATGTGCAAAAATCAATGATCATTTTGTAAAAACTCCATAAAACTGAAGCAGAGGAAGAACAATCTCCTTGTTGGGATGAATTAGGTAACCTGGATAAACTCAGTAAGCGTAGGAGGCGGCTGTTAGCTGCACGGTCTTGTCCTGGGGGGTTCCCACGGCCACAGCTGCCCTCATGGTGCTGTGCAAGCCACCTCTGGATGGCTCGGGAGGGAGCTCCTCAGCCCACCGTGGTGGTGGAGGGCTGAAGTTGCCCGTTGCTCTGTGTACTGGAGCAGTGTTGCTTGTAGGCACTGGCCTTCTGCTACTTTTTTTTTTTTTTTAACTCCTTTTTCTTTTTTCTTTGCTGGTTCAGTGCCTTTTTTTTTCCATATCCTTATCGTAAAGAAATGAAGCGTCTATTTCTGGGTAGTGAGAAGATCTATGTGATAAACAAATGACTGTAAAATAGGTGGAACTGCTATTTGCATTTCAGCCTGAGCTACAAGGAGACCTAGTATATGTGACTTTTTTCCGCTTTGAAATAATGTAGGCTACTGAGATTGCTTGTAAACAGTCTCAGTACATAGCAATGATAATACGTGACAAACGGGTCTGAGGTGACGGAATTTTGGAGTGGAGCAGAGAGGCTTTGGCTGCTGTAGCTTAGCAGTCTGTAGTTTAGTGCTAGGCAGAATTAAATATTGGGTTTGTGGCTGGCCCCAGGACTGCTGAACTGGATTTAGTAGAGGAATCAAAGTCTGAAAAAGTCAATGAAAAGACACCCATGCACTTTGGATGAGGCTTGTGGAAGTGCTTCTGGGACTAGCCTTACCAATACTGCTAATTAGTTGTTTTCTAGAAAGGGATCTGTGATGCTGGATATCTCTGGCTGTGTGTTCTGTAACAATAAAGCAATAAAAGCCAGGTTGCAAAAATGTGAGGTAGACTTAGAAATCACAGTATGGAGAAGAATACAAATAAACATCACTTCCTTGTAGTTGTCTTCTTGTTTCTAAAGCTCTAAGTTACTCTCACTTCACATTTTCAAATCTTTCTTCCATAATCAAGCAGAATAGAAACCTACTTCATGTTTTGGTGACACTGTTTTGTGAGGAGAGAGAAGATTTTTCTGCAGGCCCTCCACCCAGCTGCTGTGCTTTGAGGGGGGCACCAGCTGTGTCAGGGCTCGAGAAAGCCCCTCTGGTGCAGCCCCCGCAGGGCATAACGCACGCACTGGGAGAGATTTGCTGCTCACTGCTGCCTGCTGGGCTCAGGGTTCAGGACTCTACGCAGTGCTGGGGTGGCCCTGCTTGAACTGAAATCACGTAAAAGGAAGCCAGTGGCCTCCAGTTCCTCGTCTGGTGTTATCTGTGGCCTCAGCTGTTACTGAGGAAGCAGGACCATGAACTCTGCTGGTCAGGCTGCAATGCACCCCGACCCAGCGTCACCTTTGGGGCAGTTACAAAGTGAGGGCAGTGCAACTCTCAGACACTTATGAGGCCTTTTGCCTCAGAACATATATGTTATTCAGGATGACTTCTACAATCATTGGCTCATTTTGCTTAAATATGAAGCAGAAGTCTTCTGCCTGGCACTCATCCCCAAATCAAGAGCACAACAGCACCCACACCTGCTCTGGAGAAAAATCAGGTGTCTCCAGTGAAGCAGTTTGGCAGCAATTTGCTGAAGCTTTTTACTTCACCTGTTCTCTGCTTGTTGCCATACAGGAATACTTTGAACCAAGCAGAAGACATCCATAACAGTGACTGCCTTCTAATACGCTGTTTGTTATTCCCCATTATAAACTGATGGCAACATCCTGCAAGGTGCAAGATGTGAAGTTGCGCTTTCCCTCAGGACACAACTGACTTAGGCCTAACTTGGGCTGACCAAAGCCACCCCCCTTCCAACCCTCTTTAAACACCCAAAAAAAAAAACACCCCACAAGCTTGATCCTGACTGCAAAAATAACAGACATGGAATGAGAGGATAGCCTTTTTAATGAAGAACAAATTAACTACATTTATTACTAATTCCTAACATATTATCATATGATGGAGAAATAAAAACAAACAAAAAAAGCCTGGAGTGTTTTTAAATAATTCAAGGTTGAAAGAAGCCTCGGAAAGCAATTGTGACTTTTTCTTGCTGTTCAAGAGAACAGAAGTAGTGCTTCAAAATGTCTTCTGGCAAGAAACCATCACTTTAATAAATTATTGGATGCGTCTGTTTAGTGCTAGTGACTTGGAAAAGTGTGAAGCAATGTAGAACAAAATGGAGACAGGTATCCTGCAGCAAGCAGTGTTTTCTGTTGGGGTGAGTAATGGAGAACAGTCTGGGATAGATGATGTTTCACTGGAAATCTCAGCCTTACCTTTGAGCAATGAGATTTGTCTGTGTTCAGCTGTGCACATCCCAAATGCAAGGAGTCTTTTCTTAATGTACAGCCTTCAGCAGAATTGCAGAGCAGTGGGGTTGGAAGGGACCTCACAAGGTTGTCTGCTCCAGCCCGCTGCTCAGAACAGGTTGCTCATGGCTGTGTCCAGCTGGGATGCAACCTCTGCAGCATCTCTGGACAGCCTGTTCCAGTCCATGGTCACCCTTACAGGAAAGAAAGGTTTTGGCTTGGTTTTGTTTTCTGAGGTTTAAACAGAATTTGCTTTATTTTATTTCATGCCTGTTGCCTCTTTTTCTGTTACTGGGCACCACTGAGAAGAGACTGGCTCTGTCAGACTTGTTTCCATGTAGGTGTATGAAGATAAAACCACAGGTAATTGAAGTAACACAGAAAGAAAGAGTAGGCAATGGATTCAAAACAGCAGATTTCAAAGCAGTGTCATTCATCGTTGTTTAATACTGCTGCTTTCCCTGACAGTTTTGAATGTGTTTCTCCACGTGCTATGGGACAGCAGAGCTAATATATTCAGTTCTGGGAAATCAATGATAGAGCAAGGGATTGAAGTAGTTGAACATAGACGCCTTCACCTGAGGTGGTCACCGAGTCTCTAGGCAGTCAGCAGAGAGAAGTGGGTGCTCCACAGACGTCTGCTTACAGTGGTGCCCATTGCGGTGCACCCCCTGAGGTGCCCCATCCAGAGTGCCTGTGGAGGGGGGCTGTGTCTCCAGAGCCTCACTGATACACCCTGTGGTGGGTTTGAAAGGTGTGATGTGGGTCTTGGAGTTTAATGAGCAAATATAGGAGCTAGTCGTGGGGAACAGAAGCTTGGAGATGTCCGTGTGGGTACGTGGTGGGATGTCTGCCCCCTGGCAAGGCTCCTCTAGGGAGAAGACTCTTCCTTCAGTGGGGCTGGTAGCTCCACCAGAGCCTTTAGGGTGCAGCCTGTTTCTTGGGGCTGTCCTGCACCCTGTGCACCAGAGGCTGAGCATGTCTTACATGGGTCTGCTCTTGTGGCAGCTCTTTGGAGTTAGCTGGGCATATCTGATGTGTTGTTTAACAGCTGCTCTAGATTGACAAATGGGAGCCCAGGACATTGTGACTGAAGGCTTGGGTTTGGTTCCCTGCCCCTCAAAAGTCCGTCCTTCTGGAGTTTCTATACAATGACATTTAAAAGGGGATATAAAAGAAATTTTGTCAGAGGTCTGGGAATCTGCCCAGGCGCATTTGTGTCAGTTACTCTGGTGGGCTCCCTTGGGACACAACCTGAAAAGCCATTGCTTGCAAGTGGGGAAATTCTTCTCCTGTGCCCAACTGCTGAACAGAGCCAAATTCTTCAGAAAGAAGTCCTGGACCATGAACTTGCCATTTCAGTGGCTTTGTGTTCTCTGGCAGATCACAGATGAATTACAACCCTTTTGTTTTCTAGGAGGCTAATGGGGAAAACTGTGTTTAGGTTAAAAGTATATGCTCCACTGATATCTTCTCCCTGCCTCCTCCCCCCCCCCCCCAGTTTTATTTTGGCTGAAGACTTTAAAGAAAGAAAAGGCCCTTTGCTGTTGCAAGATGTTGAGATAATTCTGACCCCCCAAGGCCACATTTTACAGCTGCTTGCACTTAGCAGCTTAGTGTGTGATGCTACAAAAGGTGACCTTCGCAGTGCCTAGTAAGAATATAAACCTTTGAATCTCCCCTCTGAGTGACGTATACCTAATGCTCAGTGTGGGCTAGATGTTTCTGAAGTTACGTATCATCTTCAGAAGACAAGGAGGCTATTACTCTGAGGACATCCGGATGTGCTGCTTGCTCTGTGTAATGTCCTGCTTGATGGTGCCTTCCTTATACTGCTGCTAACAACAAAAAACAATATGCTGATGTACCTTTAGTCTCTTGTACAGTGACTTAAATCACTTGTTGTTATTCCTAGTACATTTGTATTTTTCTTAGCATTTGTGTTCCTCCAGCACACTCAGAGTGAGTACTCTCAAGGGGGAATTTCCTTCCTGATAAACAATTCTGCAATGTGATTCAGCAGGAAGGATGTTGTGGTTAAGGCACTGGATTGGGATTTGGGAGACATGGGTTCTGTTCCCAACTCTACCACAGTCAAGATGTGATGAGTGGAAGGGCAAGCAAACAAAGAGGAGGAGCTCTTTAGCTGTGGCAAGAACATGCTTTCACATTGACTAGTCTAGTTTGGAGGTTAGATAGGTCTGTTTTCTGGTTTAGTTAATCAAGTAAACAGTGATAAAGACTCCTGTATGTGCAACTGAAATCTGAAAGCTAACCTTGCACTACTCCAGGAATCCAGATTTAGTTTTAATTCATGTAATGACTTTCATGAGGTTTCAGATACCACTGTTTACTGTTTCTTAGTTTACTTTAATTTACCAATTCCCTGTTAAGTTCTCTGCTTTCCATGAGAAGTCATATGCTCATACAGTTTCTATGCTATCTTGTATTCTTACATGCAAAAGCTACAGACCATACATATGATATTTCCTTTGTCATACGGGGTGAGGTTCCTATAGTTTGATCATAACACTGTATCTTTCTTTCCAGAAGCAAGAGCTTGGACTACCAACTCTGAGCTGTAGACTATTAAGCTCAGCATCCTAATTCGGTGCCACCTTTGGGAGGATGAATCAGGAGAGCGACTCAAATGATGAGCCTGCTGGTGAGTTTTCTGCTTGTCAAGTCATTTGCTTGTCTCTGGGTCATTTGGCATCATTTGCTTTCCATTTATTTTCCTTAGTGCTATTGGAGGAGAATGCTGAGTCACAGATCAGAAGCTCTGAATTCAATTCCACATTGCATATCATGAAAGTGACCAAATCTTTGAGGTTTCCTGGGTACACAGCTAGATTTCAGCATTCTTATATTTCAGGTTGAAAATTTTTGTAACAATTGTTTCTCTAACTTTCCACAAATTCAGAAGTGTCCCATCTTACTAGTATATTACACAACTCATTCAGATTTCATCCATACTTCAGCTTTCTCGTGAATTGCTTCTGTAATTGCTATAAAAAGTAAGACTTGGGGAAGATGCACACATATTCTGTTGTCATGTTATGTCCCACAAAGTTTCAGTGTCAGGGTCATTGCTGCAGAGATTGAATGGACAGGAATTTGTTACTTACTCTGGCTCAGTTCTGCCAAGAATTTCCTCTCTTCTTCCATCCCCTTCTTTGGTTACTGGAAATCAGTATCATCTACTACTTCTGGATGTTTCTGCAAAGGAGGAGGGCCTGGGAGACACACAAGCCAGAAGCAGTGCCTGACAGACTCCCAGGCTCTTGCTCAGCTGTGTTTTTTGGATGTGTAAAGGAGCATTCTTAGTTCTGACGCAAGGGCTATTTTTTGACAGTTTTCATTGTTCCCCACTCTTTGTTAATCGATGAGGTCTTTTTGTCTGATGCCTTTTTCAGAAACAGGGGTGATATAGGAGCTGCTGATTTATTTTTTCTTCTTTTTTTCTTTGTAACGCGTCCTTCCTTTTTTAGACTTGCTCAAGCAAACCCGTCCAGACTATATCTGCCTGACAGGATTATTAGGATATCCTCTTACTGGGGTGGCAAAGAAAGCAGTCCTCATAGCCACCATTCTTCTGCCATTCTGTTTTACTGTCACAGCCCACATGGGTGTATGCAGTGTAGGTTGGTGAGTTTGGGATTCAGAACACCTGCCTACACTGAGAATCTTGCTGTTGTCTGTGGATTTGAACCTGGGATTTCAAGAATGGAAATTTTAAGAAAATTCTTCTGTTAGCTTGGAAGAAAAAGAGATCATTTATTGTTCCTTACAGTCCTGCCTAGCTGGCTATGGGGCTAAGGAGGAAGAATCTGTACTCTGTATTACTCTGCATGCATTTTTTTTTTTTTACTGTGAACAGATGAAGATTGAATATCAGGATGCCATGCAAATTCACGAGTCATCTACAAAAGGACTTGGAGGCAGGATCTTTGGAAAAAGGCATTCAAGGAGGCCTTCCATAACACAAATCATCCTGGGTGCTCATGAGAGAGGTGTGGATCACATGGTCAAAATACTCACAGGTTGCTCATTGCAACATTATTTTTCTTGGGCTAATAGAAATTATGCTTTGAGTTTTGGTCCACTGTCTTAAGAAACAGACACTAGAATGAAGCTGTCAGGAAGGACACATTTTCAGCATACTACTACTGTGTATTTTACACCTTCTGCTGGAGTGATTAGTACTGGCTACTCTTGGAGTCAAGGTTCTGGGTTACACAGGCCTGATCCACTGATGATTTATATCTTGGCTGAACACAGGGATCTTCAAATTTGGATCTGTTTGTGCAGCTTCTAGCACCAGCACTCTGTAGCCACCCAGTAAGTGTTCCATTGTCAATTCATTTCATTATCTAAGCCTTGCTGCACTGTAGCTATAGTTAGAGAGGAAGGATATTATAATCTTGTGAAAGATTAAAATATTTTTACTGTAATCCAGCTGGAAGGGTAGCACTTTTCTCAGGGTAGGAGACAGCCAAGGTTTTTCCCATTCTGTCCTCCCCTTGTATACAGGAAGGAAGTACTGGCAAGGGCCCCCTCAGCTTCCTGTCGACTTTGGAGCACATTTCCAGACACTACCTTCTCCACCATCCATCACCCAGCCTAGCCAAACAATCACAGCAGTGCAACAGGAAAAACACACATCTCACATAAACACTTTGGAGGCAGCATGAGCGCAAACCTCTGGAATTCATGCACAAGCCAGTCTGATCTGTAAAACTTTGACAGCAGGTTGCTGAGGATTCCCTTCCCTTCCCTTCCCTTCCCTTCCCTTCCCTTCCCTTCCCTTCCCTTCCCTTCCCTTCCCTTCCCTTCCCTTCCCTTCCCTTCCCTTCCCTTCCCTTCCCTTCCCTTCCCTTCCCTTCCCTTCCCTTCCCTTCCCTTCCCTTCCCTTCCCAATAATCAAAATTCTCCTTTAGAATAAGCTTAAAAAAGAAAAAAAGGGGGAAAAAAAAAAGAAAAAAAGGGAAAATGGTAACATGTAAAGGATCTGATGCTTGGTAAAGAAGCCACCAGGATTGTGAAGCCTTAAGCCAAGGAAGTGACTAGGCGTGCTCTCTGGTTCACAGCACCCCAGGGTGATCTGTCTGGCAACAGGGGAAGGAAGTAAGTGGCATTACGGAGACAGAGGTTTCTGTCAGGTCTTCAGGGTAGGGCAGTGACAAGGCAAAAGCGAGTCTGATGCCTTGAAAGAGGAAATAAATAAGGTGGAGGCCTCACCATTACATGAATCACCTTTACAGAATATGACTTCATGCCTCTCTCCAAGAAAGGGCTCTGAACTGAATCTTGATCTTTTTCTCATATTAAACAAAAGTTTAAAAGCTGCATTACAATATTTGGGTAGTATTTTCAGGCTTACCTGCTCTGTAACCTTTTTGAACCATTCCTTAAGCCATCAATTTGGTTTTCTTCAGTATGGCTTCAGTATTCTTATCAAATTTGAGCTAGGAATTTTATTTTGATTATCAAAGCAGCAGTCTTGCCTGCAGTAATTAGCTGTTAAGAGGTGATGAGCACTCACCAGAAACAGTGAGTTCTTGAGACAGCTGTGTAATCCTGTTGAACAATTAGATGATTCAGTTATTCAATCTGTTATGAATCCTGATAACAGATTATCAGGAGTCTTAACTTGTTGGAGAAGCAACTTTTCTGTTTTAAATTTAGTTTTCCTTGTACATCAAGCTTGAATGATTTATGGTTAAGGTTGAACACCTAGCTTAGTCTCTGTGGGCATCCACACAGTCAGAACCCTGTCTATGTAACCATGTTCCTACTCTGCAGTTTCCCATAGTCCTTGTGGAAGCCATCCTATTATCCTTTGGTGTGAGATGCTTCAAAACTACCTCCCAGGAGGCTGCGTCCAACAGCAAGGGGACCAGATTGTAGTTGTGAATGGAAGGCGGGGCGGGGAGGCTATCAGCCATCAAAGCAATTGCACCTGCCCTCCTCATTCTACATGGATGTTGCACCTATGGAATTGCACCCCACATTTGAGCCCCCACCTCTGCATCAGCCAAGTACATTGGCTTGTCAATTAGCATGGAGTTAGAACACCTCTAAGATTTCTCTGTTTGTGTCATTGGAGAGCTGGGGTAAAATTCATTTAAGAGTCCAGCTTAATAGTAAATTTAAAACTCACCCTAAAATTTCCTCTGTGCGTACTGACTTACGTGGCAGTTGTATTTGTAACATCCTTCAGTGCAGTTCATACTTTCTATCATGTGAAAACCAGTCACTAACTCTTAACTGTGCTGAGACACAGAAACAGCCCCAGCTCCATTCTGGCTACCTGCAGGAGCGCCTGGGCTGCGCAGCCAGGTTCGCCTTCCTGCGACTGCTGCTTTCCCCCTTCTCTGGCTCACGCTCGTGTTGTCCCGTGTCTGGGCTTGTAACGGGTGCGGTGGGGAGTAAGCTCCTTACATGCATTTAAATACTCTGTGGGACAGAAATTATTTCTCATTTAAGTTTTTTTTTACAGAATGTGATACTGTGAAGTCCTTGTTTAAAATCTGAAGGCATTTCTGAAATGCTAACATTTATTTTGAAGTCTACCAAAATGTGGGCATGAGTAACACCAATTGAAAGGAGGTAAAATGGACTGGGGCTGGGGAGGATGGTAAATAGCAGTAATAGCTGTGTTCTTCTAAAAACAATAACAAGCAAACAAAACCTGTCCCCATCATGGCAAAGGCTTAGAATGAGTTAATATCAGATTTCCCCCCACTTAGGACTGGGAGTAAATGCTATCAGACTGAAGTTGTATCAACTTTTAAAGGCAAAAAACAAAGCTTAACAACCTAGTTTCAGGTCCTGTCTTAGACCTGAAGTCCCCAGACAGGGAAATGAGACTGTTGAATGCCACAAACTGTTTATAAAAGTATTAATCTTCCCCTTTGTGAAGGTGTTTGACTATACATGGAAAAGCATTCACATTCACAGCATGCAAAATTTCTTAATTGCCCGGCAGAATGTAATTTATTGTGGGATTGCTTCTCCTGGACGTCCTCTTTGCAGGAAGAAGACATCACTAATGGGCAGTGGGTGCAGTCTACTCAGTTTCTACATCACCGTTCACTCGTTTAACTCATCTAACTATTCCCTGTAACAGCAATGGGTTAAATGAAAGTGAGATAGGGCTGATTTGTTGGCAGTGTCCCTTTAAAGTACAGGAGTGCCAATGTGAAATCAATCTGCCACATGCTAGCCGAGCAATGCAAGGAACGTGGGGTGGCAGAAACGTGACCAGATTTGCTCGAACCACCAAGCAAAAGTGCTGCTGTGTTCGGAGGAGCTGTGAGGAACGGAGGCGCTCATTTCCAGCATCTGTGGCTGTGAGGACTGATGCTTCTCAAAGATGTGAGAGTGGGTGGGGATTGGCGAGCCCCTTTTGATATGCTGGTGGTTGTCAGGGCTTAAGGGAAGCAAGTCTTCAGGACCACGCACATCTCTGAGAAGTAAAAGAAATGGGCTTGTGATGGTAAATGCTGTTTGCCCAAAGGTACAAAAACACCGTGATGATAAAATTTAGTTCAGATTGGATATAAACTGATCAATAACAAAGAAGTTTTCTGTGAATTGCCTTCTGGTGTCTATATTCCCCTTTGCAAAAAGAATCTGATTCTTTCACATGTATTTAGTGAA